TTCTGGGGCTCAATAATACAGATAAGCTCTTGATGTAAGAAGGACTGGTGACCCTTATATCACATGAGCCCAGTCTCCTATTTTTCTTCTTTTTCAAATTCATGAGTCTTGTCTTTGTTATTTCTTGACTCTATAAATCTTTACTCCCTGAGGTCAGCCAGTGGCTTGGTGGTTAAGGCAGCTGGATCCCATATGTCTGACTGTATGATTCAAGTCCCAAACCTGGAGTCTTAAAAAACATACCAGGGTGCATATGTGTATGTGTCCAATGGAGGAAAAGGGATTGCAGTGTGGCCATCCCTCCTGGGGAGTGCTGTCTCACTTTCCCTCTCTCTCTTGTTTCTCTGTGTCTCTTTCTGGTGAGTACAGGCATCCCATAGCAAAAACAATGCTGCTTATAAGCTGTTAATAACCAAACTTAACAAAATGTATATTTAAAGTATATTTAATTCAACTCAGAAAGTGTGTTCTGTCTCCTATATTAAAAGAATGCTTGGCTTTTCAGAGGCTAGAACATAATATGAATATAAAACTTATCAGTATTTTGGTACATATTTAACATTCATTAAATCTTCTGAGATAAAAAATGGTGGACTAATAAAAGAATGATTTTTGTGGTCTCTTCTGTCTAACTGAAAGGAGAAAATACTGGTTTTTAAATCAATAGGCTTTAGGTGAGGGCTGGAGAGTAGCTTCCTCCTTCAGTCGTAAGGTCCATGGATTTTATAACTGGTACTATTACACCTTCTCAACAATTTTTAAGTGCATTTATTTACTTATTTCTCCCTGGAGAGGGAGAGAGGCCCCCACATTGTCTTCATGGCATGGTTCACTGTCAGTCTCAGGTTGCAGGGAGGCCCATACACACACATACACACATGTGCCCAATGAGTACAGACCTTGGGGAATGAGACTGGGACCTTGCTGTATGGGTCCCGCATTGCAGAGTATTGCATTACTGTTGTGCACCATCTGGCCCTATCAACATTTTTTTTTTTTAATTTGCTAGAAGGTTCCTGTGCTCACCAAGAAGAGATGAAGTGAGAGAAAAAGGGAAAATGAGAAAGCACCCCCCGGCATGGGCCATGATCATGCTACAATACCTTCTCTATTTCTTCTACCTTTCAGGATTTGGGGCATACACGCACACACATGCGTGCATGTGCACACACACACACACACACACACACACACACACAGCGTGTTTCTTAAACCACTGGGTCCAGGCCTGTCACTGCACAGCCACCTATGTGGGATCTAGCTCTCTTAATCACCATATCATGAGTTGGCCTCCAAAAATTTTTAAGTGTTAAATATTTTTCAGATGGGTTTCATGACATAGGAATTATCAAAAATCTCTCAGAATAAAAGTCATATTCTGGCTCTAACTCTTTTTTTTCAAAACCTCCTTTACTAAGTGTATACAATCCATTAATCCAGGTAACTCATTTGCACATGGCATTCTTGTGTGATAATGGCATACTCAATTATTTTGAAGGCCAGGCAAAGTACGTGCTAAGTCTTGACTTAGAATCTTACAAATACAAATCATTGGTGACAGGTTGGTGGTCAGTTGGGAAGTTGGGTTAGAGCATATGGGCAGAATACATTGGATCTTGCCTGTTAGAAAAAGAACATGTGTAACACACGGTATCCTCATAGCCATAGGCAATTTCTTCCCACAGGATTCTTGAGTCATTCTTCCTTTCATCAGTGATTTAAATTTTGCCACCAGCAAATGTAACATTTTAATCACTAATCTGTGTTCTCTACCCAGATGTAGGATGAGTCTGTTTTTTTAAATTGAAGACACTAACCCGAAAGCATTACCCAACATGACTAGTAACTCAGAAGTTGCAATGAGAGTGAAATCTGTTATAACTTTCTCTTAAGTTTGTAACCCTCAGTCCTGCCCAAATAGGAAATAATGAAATTTATTGTGTTAAGCTACTAGCTTTTGTGATAACTTATTCCATAGTTATAAGTGAGTAATGCAAGGGTAGATAAATATATGGACAAAAAAAAAATTCTAAGCACAAAGAAAGATACGTTCAAAAAATCTGAGATGGTTACAAGTTTGGCGAGTTTGAGACCATGAAAGAAGTCTTGAACAACTGAGAGATGGAAGAGAAGAGTGCAAGTCAGCCTGGGGAAGAAGGCAGAGCTATGGCAAAGAGTTTGAGTTTTATTCTTAGAGGAGGGAGTGAAGAGAATTAAGGAGAAGAAATACGACCAGAAAGCAAAGATGACTTAACTACCATGGAGAACAGAGTGGGTAGGGGCAGAGGCAGGGGTAGTAGGAGTTGATGAGAAGAGACCACAGTGAAGAAGCTACACAGCAGTCCAGGCCTTCCAGAGGTGGCTTCACTCAGGTAGCAGTAATGGAACTGTAGAGAGGGAGATGGAGTGAGGGTTACCTTGGAGGCAGAACACTATACACAGATATTAAAGGAAAGGGTTAAGATACTGCTTTGGTGAAATAGGCTGTTGAACCTAATGGGGGAACTACCACCTAACATAAGCCACACGAACACAAGGCAAAGGCCCTAAATATCAAAACAGGTAGACATTATATAAAGATACGGACTTTATAAATCTCGGCAACATTTGAGTCAAGACTGCTTGACCTCAGGGTTAGAAGTTTAAAGTTGGGTCCTCACTAAAGATGGGGGAAAGCCCCATTTCCCGACCAGCCAGTTTCTCAGAATGCCCTTTCTTCTACTGTTCTTAATACCGGCCTCTGACTCCAGAGTGATCGCTTAGGTTGAGGTACACCCCTGCCTGCTCTAGGCTGAGCTCTATACACCTATGAGAAGTTTATGGAAAAATGGAATAAAAGTAGTTTATTTTGAAATTCATGTATACTTTTTTTTTTTTTTTTTGGAGAGGTTTTCTCTATAGGGCGTGTGCACTCGCCAGAAAGACAGAAAGCGTGAAATCACTCCCCAGTGAGGATGGTTACACCACAATCCCTTCTCCTCCATTCTCCTCTCAGGATCCTGGGCATGCACGCACATGCGCCCGGCGTGAGTTTTAAGCCACCGGGTCCGGGACGCGAACCACGGTTGACTACGTGGGAGTCCAGTGACATAGCCATTACACTAACTGCTGGTTCCCTATGTATACTTTTTCATAATAGACATTTTTTTATAAACTTTTTGAAAAATGCCCCCCTACCAAGATAATCTATAAACTTTTCTAGAAAACTTTGAAAATAATAGAAGAGTTTATAGGTAGACTTACAGAAAAACCAGTTGTTTTAGGGCATGTGTTCTTACCAGAAAGAGTGAGAAAGAATGCTTCAATGGGCATGGTTATGTCACAATCCCTTCTCTCTTATTTCTGTATTTTATTAGGATTTGGGGTACATACACATAGACTCCCAGCAAGTTTTTCAAGTTACTGTGGTGGGGATTGCAACTGTGATTGCCCAAGAGGGATCCAGCTCCCTTAACCACAAGATGAAGGGCCAGCCCCAAATTCCAGTTTTTGATCAAACTTTTCTTGGGCTCAAAGGCCCCCCAGTATCAAATCTAAAAAATTCCATAAAACATATGCAATTTCTTATTCAGTTAAGAGAGCTATACTTCATATGTTAAATTTCAGTTTATAGGAGAGTTTCTATATGTTTGCATCAGGAAAAGATGTAGATATTGAGATAATGATACAATATTCTTTGGCCTAGATGTCTGTCTAAGAGCATCAGAAGTCAAGGTTTCAAAATAAAAGTAATTTTTCTAGCAAATGTTGATATTAGTCATTCAAATGGTATTATCAGATGAAAATACAGATTAAGCCTGATTTTTTTTAAAGCCATAAACTTTTAAGTTTTTGTTTGTTTAGAAAGATTTTTGTTATAGGACACATGTGCTCACTGGAGAAAGAGAGAGAGAGACAAAGAGAAAGTGAGAAACCACCCCCAGTAGGGGATGGCCATGCCAGTCTTTTTTTCCTTCATTTTCTTCCTGGGATTTTGGGCACATATGCACACATGCTCAGTGTGAGTTTTAAGCCTCCAGGTCCAGGACTCAAACGATGGTCAACCATGTGGATTCTAGTGCCTTAACCACTACACGACCTGTTGGTCCTAAAAGCCATAAACTTATTACATCTAGCAGAAATTCCTTGGATTTTATATTAAGTTATGATTCCTTATTGGTCTTTCTATTCTCTTCAATGTCACATTTTGTTGTTGTTGTTTTAAGTTTTTGCCATTGAGCACATGTACTCACTGGAGAAATCCAGAGAGACAGTATGATAGAAAGAGAGAAATCATGCTCCCCTCAGGGGGATGTCCATGTTGCAATGCCTTCTCCGTTCTCTTCCTGGGATTTTGGACATGCACACACACGCAGCCAGTGTGATTTTCAAGCTCCAGGGTCTAGGACTCAAACCACAGTCGACCTGTGGGAGTCCAGTGCCATAACCACCACACTATCTGCTGGTCCCTCATTCCAGAATGCTTAGGATTCTGAGATGAATGTCACTCTTTTTCTCACTATACTAAAAATAAAAACACTTAGCAAATTGATTGGTAAAATTCATCATTTTTATACATTAAATACCTAATACCCAGGAAAAGAAAAAAAGAATAGCTTTTTTTTTTCACCCCTAAAACAAAAAGAAAACTTGGACATTCTTTTTAAATCTCATTTAAATAAGCTTAGATTGATTTTTTTAACATAAACAAAAATCAAATTATTTGCCCTACAGCAGCACTCTTGAATAAATCAACATTCACAAAGAGTGCTTTGCTATACTCTGAGAATTTTCAACAAGTAATTAAGTTAGTGAAGTTGGTCAGCATACATGCAGAAAACAGCACCTGATGGCCAGAGGTGATTCAAACACTGAGTACCTGTTGACTGAGTGATTTCTAAGTATTTTGACCAGATAGCTCAACTATGACTGCACATTGGAGTCACCTGCTGTTCTATTGCTAATAACAGAAAATACATGAAACTGGGTAATTTATAAAAATAGAGGCTTATTCAGCTCACCATTTGGAGGTTCAAGATCCAGGGGCTACACATGATGAAAGTCTTCCGGCTGTATTACGGCATGGTGGAGGACAGGTGTACAGATATCTGTATTTGTGTCTGTCTCATTCCCTCTCATAAACTCACCAGAACTTCACCATGGGGGTCCCACCCTGATGTCCAATCATTTTCCAAAAAACCTCGTCTTTCAACACCAAATCAAAGTAAGTCTCCTGTTAATACCTTCTAACTATGATCAAATCCCAAAGCATGAATTTATTTTGGGGAGTGGCATTCAAATGACAACCCCTGGAAAACACTGAAATATGCTGAATCCCAGGCCATATACCAGATTAACTAAAGCAGAACCTCTGGAAGATTCATAAAAAATGTTTATGAAGTTCTCCAAGTGAGCCCAAAGTACAGCAAAGATTGAATCACTGCCACATGACCAGTAATTATTTTTCTTTCAGCCATATCAGGGTTACTTAGGTGTCTTTCTCTTCTTTTAGAGAACTGGAATTCAGAACTCTCTAAGAAGGTCATTCTGTAAAGAACACAAGGAAGTTGGCACCATTTGCTGCTGTCAGTGAGCAAGTGTGTACCATGTGATTGCTTTGCAAAACTGTATAGAAGCAATTCACCACTACTTTAAAAAAGCTGTTTTCTAAATAGGTCAAACTCCCTTGGTCATTAGACCACACTTCCTAACTCAAAGAAAGGCCAGAGTTTATCATTAAAAGGACAATGAAACAGGAAGCTTAGTAATCACTTACGTGTTCCACCAGGTGCCAAGATACCTGTGAATCACAGTAAGTGGTTGAGTAAACATCAGCCTCTCAGGAACTTGGCTTCCATACAAAACTGGCCTTTCATGAACCAGTAATCATGGAACAATAGGAGGAGGCTAGGGTTGTTTCTAAATGGGATGGGGATTATCCTACCCCAACAAAGTGTTACCTTCATCCTGATACATGCGCATGTACACACACACACACACACACACACACACACACACGTTATTTCTTTCTGTCTTTCTATTTTAACTGTTTATACTTGAAGAAATAGATATGGATAAAGGATGAAAGTCTCATTTCCAAAGGAATTATTAAAAGTTATTTGGGGCCAGCAGGTGGCACGGTGGTTAAGGCACTGAACTCCCACATGGTCTAATGCAGTTTGGCTCCTGGACCTGGTTGGTGGCTTGCTTTCTCACTTTCCTTCTCTCTCTGTCTCTCTCTGTCTCTCTCTCTCTCTCTCTCTCGGTCTCTCTGTGGTGAGAGTATGTGCCCTACATCAAATTAAAAATAATAACAATAATTGGGGCCAGCAAATGGCATAGTGCTTATGGTGCTAGACTCCCATATTGTCAATCACAGTTTAAGTCCTGGACCTGCTGGCTTGAAACTCATGCCAGGTTTATGAGTGCATGCATGATTAAAATTTCAGGAGAAGAACGGAGGAGAAGGGATAGTGGTATTACCATCCTTTCTGAAGGGTGATTTCTCACTTTTTCTCTGTCTTTCTCTGTTTCTCTGACGATCACATGTGCTCTATAGCAAAAATATCTCTAAATAATGATATTGATAAGCAAATAAAAAAAAAACTTGACAGAACAATACTTAGAATGGGAGAATATATTTGCAAACTATGCCTCAGATAAAGGACTGATAACCAGAATATACAGGAAACTCAAGCATCTTATTCTCTCCCCCCAAAAAAGTCCATTTAATCAAAAGATGAGCAAATGAACTGAACAGACAACTCTCCAAGGAAGGCATAGGGATGGTCAAAAAAATTTTTTTGAAATATGCTTCAATAAGCCAGACTATGAAAGACAAGCATTGTATGTCTCCACTTAATGTATACTGAATGACTGCACTCTCTAGCAGAAACTGAAAAATTAAAAGGTATAATAGCAGAGAGGCCAACTGTAGATATTAGAGATAGTATAGAAGTGGGTGGGTAATAGGAGGTGGGTTATGGAGGGTGAGGGGGTGGGTAATAGAGGGTGGAAAGTGGAAACTAGGGGAAGAAACAAACAAAACATTTAACAGACACAAAAATGAAAAGTTATCTGTTGATGATAACATATATGGTAATGTTTTTGACTTGACTGTATTCATGCTGGGAAAAACCATGTTGTACACTGTAAAGATGTACAGTCATTAAATGTAAATAAAAGTAAATTAAAAATTATTTTGGCTAAAGGTCACAAAGAAATTTAACTTGCTTTTCTATAGTAATCCAAATTGTTGTATGCTAATTGAATAAATATAGTTTTTTTTTAAAAAAAAAAAGGTCACGAGGTTATTACTCCCTTAACCAATGGCAATGACTATATCCTTTGGTCACTGCTCCACTGAAGACTTTTCAAAGTTATTATTCAGAGCACACAGATTAACACAGGGTTTTTTTGTGGTGAAACTAGTAAACATCTGGGAATTCAGGTGCTTGACATTTAAATTCCCTGGCACAGAACTGTTCGTTCATTATATGAAACTGTCACATTATTATTTTGCCTAATGATACCATCATTATCATATTCACTTGAGTGACAAAATGCCAGATTTATGCCCATCAATTTTCTGCTGTGTCTTTCCAAATGAAAGAGCTTTTTCTTCCTAAATCTATCAAATTAGCCTGGTGGGCTGAGGCAGCAGAGAGTGGATTTTCAGTGGTGATATTCAAAAATTAGATGCTATTTTAATTCACCCTTGTAGTTCATGCATTAAGTGTAATATCATCAAGATTTAGCCATTTATGCTTGAATTATCCTGAATTTAATGATGTGTATCAAAGTAAAGCTTTAAGTGTAAAAATTTCAATCACAAGTAATAAGAAAAAAGTAAACGTGATTTAGAGAGGAAGGATAAAAAAGTATTTTTGTTGGACCAAGCTGCTAATCTATCTAATTCTAATTCCTTTGAGTGAATGAAAAAAACACATTTGATTTTCATGTATTTAACAATGATATTTTATTTGTATACATATTAAAGCGATGATAGTAAAAATTACATGAAAAATAATAATTATAGGTATTGACAGGGCTTTAACAATTTAACAAATAATTTGGGGAGACAAAGTAAATCAAAAGGCAAGCTACTTTAGTTGTTAGAGACTTGGAGTCAAGATTCAAATAACATGAGTTTAAATCTTGTTTATACAGAAACTTTTTAAGTTGCTTGACCATTCAAAGCCTTACTTCAATAATACCTAACTCACAAGTTTGTTATGAGGATAGAAGTAGGTAAAGTGTCTAGCACATAGTACGTGATCAATACTGGCTAGCTATTTTTATTAATAACAGGGCTTATTGTATATACTGTATTGGGTATTATATTGCATGCTAGCTTGTTAAATTATAAATTAACTTTGTTTCCAGTTATAAGACTGGCAGCTCAGAGGGACGAATAGAGGAATGATAACTAAATTTCTGCTAACATTTGACAAATAACTTTAAAAGTATTCTATCAGCATAACCAAAACTTACAGTATGGTAGTTCAGTATGGGATATTTATAATCGGATTATTAACACTTAGATACCCAGCTGAGATCAATGAAATTGAATTCACTGCATAGGATCTGTTCAGCTCAACAAAAGGTGCCCTCTGACCACCTACCCACCTACACAAAAACAAACAAATTAACAAAAGCTTTCAGGGCTTCCAAGGTACTTCTCATTCCTTTGTTGCTCTTCTTCCCCAGCCATTAGTCCAGAAATTTATGTGGTTACACCCCTTCAGAAGAATCTATCCAAACACTCCCTTTTCCTGGACCAGCAATTAGCGTAATGGCTATGTCGCTGGACTCCCACATAGTCGACTGAGGTTCAAGTCCCAGACCCGGTGGCTTAAAACTCACGCTGGGTGTGTGTGCATGCGTGCCCAAGATCCCAAGAGAATGGAGGAGAAGCGATTGCGGCGTGGCCATCCCCCCTGGGGGGTGATTTCTCGCTTTCTGTCTCTCTGTCTCTCTCTGTGTGTCTGGTGAGCACACGCACCCTATAGAAAAAACAAAAACAAAAACAAAACAAAACAAAAATCTCCAAACACTCACTTTCCCCCTACTCTCTTCTCTGCTTATAGTGCCATCCTCTCCTGCCCAGACCTCTGCTCTTCTCCCGCGCGCTGCCCAAATATTTCTCACGTTTAAGACTGAACCACTTTTTTGCTTTCCTAACACAATAGCTTTCTCTGGCTTATCGGTCCTTAGAAAGCTCTTACCTTTTCTACCATTATAGGTTACCTGACAAATATTATCCTAGCACAAGAATTAAACACTATTTAGAGTACATTTTTTCCCTGAATTCCAAAATTATGAAATTCCTATTTCCTGTTTGTAGTGTATACAGCTAAACCCTCTGGTTTCACACGAATCTAGCAGTGTAAGCCACATACATGGGGATTCCCTGGCTGTGAATGATTCTCTATGAGTCAATGCAGTGACATGCATTACACCAAGATACAAATAAATGCAGCGGGCTATCCCCACACATCCAAAAATGGACTAAAAGAGCAATGGACACTACGGTCAACAGCGTGACAGTTAAAAGCATGAGTAGTAGGGTCAGACCATCTATTCAGACCTGTTTTCTGTGGAGCCCTGGAGGAAATTATTAACTCTTTTTACCAAAGAGGCTATGAGAGCATTCATATTTGAAGTAGATAAAACATAACAGTACTGTTATATTTCCAGTAGTACTTATTGTATATTCAGCAGATAAAAGTGATAATCTCATTCTGTGTCTATGAGAATGCTTGTCTGAATATGTACGTATGTGTGAGTGCACACATGTACACACGTGCTTTAATTTTTTTCTCATCGAAGTTGATCTCCAGGGAGTATTTCCAAAAAAGAGATGAAACAGAAAAGGGGAGACTTTTAAAGTGATAAAATATATATATAATATCTAATTGCATTTTTTCAGGCTTCCTGAAAATGGTCATTAATAAATTATATTGATTCATGTCATTAAAAGTATTTCTGGCAAATACTGTTTGAGCGTCCACTGAGCCCATCATGTCGTGTTCTGGGAGTGCAGTGGTGAACAAAGCAGTGTTCCTGTCCTGCTTATATCCTGGGGTGGAGATGGGCAGTAAGTAATGCAGTAAACACCCTGGGTATCAGCAGGTGAAGAGGGTAATAGAGACATTAAAGCGGGTGGAGGCCAGGGGGGGTGTGGAATTTATTATTACTACTATTTAATTAAGACTGGTCTCCTGCCTGGCTGACCTTTATTAGCACCATAAAGGAGCAGACTGGCCTGCAGATAACTGGGTATCTCAATACTATCAGCCCGATGGTATTAGGAGTAGGCCGAGGCTGCCAGATGGGGCACATGGTGGAAACTCCAGGCCTTTGCACGAGGAAATTCTGAGAACATAGCATTGTCGTCACATGGAGGAGGTGATACTAAAGGGTAGTATCCAAAGA